GTGTATGTACGTAAGTATTTTCGTAATACATTATTCACTTACTCTATTCGTCTACTCACCCACACAACCACATATTAATTCACCCACTCAGCCGCGTGCTCTGTTACACACACTCACACATGCACTCATTCATTCACTCAAGCAATAATAAAAAAAAAAAAAAACACAAAACATAGAGAGCAAGAAGAAGCGCAAATGTAAAAATAGATAAAGATAGAGAGAAAGAAAGAGTAACAGATATAGAGAAATATAGAGAAAAGTGAAAGATAGAAATGTCGACTAACTAAGAAAGAAAGAGACAAAAAAAAAAAGCGAATGTAAAAATAGATAAAGATTGAGAGAAAGCAAGAGTAACAGATATAGAGAAATATAGAGAGAAGTGAAAGATAGAAATGTCGAATAACTAAGAAGGAAATAGACAAAAAAAGCGAATGTAAAAATAGATAAAGATAGAGAGAAAGTATGAGTAACAGATATAGAGAAATATATAGAGAGAAGTGAAAAATAGAAATGTCGAATAACTAAGAAAGAAAGAGACAAAAAAAAGCGAATGTAAAAATAGATAAAGATAGAGAGAAAGCAAGAGTAACAGATATAGAGAAATATAGAGAAAAGTGAAAGATAGAAATATCGAATAACTAAGAAAGAAAGAGACAAAAAAAAAGCGAATGTAAAAATAGATAAAGATAGAGAGAAAGAGTAACAGATATAGAGAAATATATAGAGAAGTGAAAGATAGAAATGTCGAATAACTAAGAAAGAAAGAGACAAAAAAAGCGAATGCAAAAATAGATAAAGATAGAGAGAAAGCAAGAGTAACAGATATAGAGAAATATAGAGAGAAATGAAAGATAGAAATGTCGAATAACTAAGAAAGAAAGAGACAAAAAAAGCGTATGTAAAAATAGATAAAGATAGAGAGAAAGAAAGAGTAACAGATATAGAGAAATATATAGAGAAGTGAAAGATAGAAATGTCGAATAACTAAGAAAGAAAGAGACAAAAAAAGCGAATGCAAAAATAGATAAAGACAGAGAGAAAGAAAGAGTAACAGATACAGAGAAATATAGAGAGAAGTGAAAGATAGAAATATCGAATAACTAAGACAGAAAGAGACAAAAAAAAAGCGAATGTAAAAATAGATAAAGATAGAGAGAATGAAAGAGTAACAGATATAGAGAAATATAGAGAAAAGTGAAAGATAGAAATGTCGAATAACTAAGAATGAAAGAGACAAAAAAATCGAATGTACAAATAGATAGAGAGATAGAGAGAGTAACAGATATAGAGAAATATAGAGAAAAGTGAAAGATAGAAATGTCGAATAACTAAGAGAGACAAAAAAAGCGAATGTAAAAATAGATAAAGATAGAGAGAAAGAAAGAGTAACAGATATAGAGAAATATAGAGAGAACCGAAAGATAGAAATGTCGAATAACTAAGAAAGAAAGAGACAAAAAAAGCGAATGTAAAAATAGATAAAGATAGAGAGAAAGAAAGAGTAACAGATATAGAGAAATATAGAGAAAAGTGAAAGATAGAAATGTCGAATAACTAAGAGAGACAAAAAAAGCGAATGTAAAAATAGATAAAGATAGAGAGAAAGAAAGAGTAACAGATATAGAGAAATATAGAGAGAACCGAAAGATAGAAATGTCGAATAACTAAGAAAGAAAGAGAAAAAAAAAGCGAATGTAAAAATAGATAAAGATAGAGAGAAAAGAAAGAGTAACAGATATAGAGAAATATAGAGAGAACCGAAAGATAGAAATGTCGAATAACTAAGAAAGAAAGAGACAAAAAAAAGCGAATGTAAAAATAGATAAAGATAGAGAGAAAGAAAGAGTAACAGATATAGAGAAATATAGAGAGAACCGAAAGATAGAAATGTCGAATAACTAAGAAAGAAAGAGACAAAAAAGCGAATGTAAAAATAGATAAAGATAGAGAGTAAGAAAGAGTAACAGATATAGAGAAATATATAGAGAAGTGAAAGATAGAAATATCGAATAACTAAGAAAGAAAGAGACAAAAAAAGCGAATGTAAAAATAGATAAAGATAGAGAGAAAGAAAGAGTAACAGATATAGAGAAATATAGAGAGAACCGAAAGATAGAAATGTCGAATAACTAAGAAAAGAGACAAAAAAAGCGAATGTAAAAATAGATAAAGATAGAGAGAAAGAAAGAGTAACAGATATAGAGAAAACATTAGAGAGAAGTGAAAGATAGAAATATCGACTAACTAAGAAAGAAAGAGACAAAAAAAGCGAAAAAAATATAAAGAAATAGAGAGAAAGAAAGTAGTAACAGATATAGAGAAATATAGAGAAGATGTGAAAGATAGAATGTCGAAATAACTAAAAAAGAAAGAGACAAAAAAGCGAATGTAAAAATAGATAAAGATAGAAAGCAAGAGTAACAGATAAAGAGAAATATAGAGAAAAGTGAAAGATAGAAATATCGACTAACTAAGAAAGAAAGAGACAAAAAAAGCGAATGTAAAAATAGATAAAGATAGAGAGAAAGAAAGAGTAACAGATATAGAGAAATATAGAGAGAACCGAAAGATAGAAATATCGAATAACTAAGAAAGAAACAGACAAAAAAAAAAAAAAAACGAATGTAAAAATAGATAAAGATAGAGAGAAAAGAAAGAGTAACAGATATAGAGAAATATAGAGAAAAGTGAAAGATAGACATGTCGAATAACTAAGAAAGAAAGTGACAAAGAAAGAAGTTATTTTTTTGTTGTAAGGCGAACATCATTATAGGGGTCAATTGTCCTAATCTGGCTTATTCTCTAGATAAAATATTACAGCGATGATGTCTTCTCTTTTAATATTATTGGAAACAAACTTCAGCAATAGGGTGGACTTAATCTGACGAAGAGACGGGGAAAAGTGAAAGTTTCAGGCTAGGAAAAAACAAGAGAGAGAGAGAGAGAGAGAGAGAGAGAGAGAGAGAGAGAGAGAGAGAGAGAGGAAGAGAGAGAGAGAGGAGAGAGAGGAGAGAGAGAGAGAGAGAGAGAGAGAGAGGAGAGAGAGAGAGAGAAAGTAGACAGAGATAAATAGACAAACAGACTGGCACACAGATAGACAAACAGTGAGAGAGATACACAAAAAAAAGAAAAAGAAAGAGAGAGAGAAGAGAAGAGAGAAGAAGAGAGAGAGAGAGAGAGCAGAAGAGAGAAGAGAGAGTGAGGAGAGAGAGGAGGAGAGAGAGAGAGAGAAGGGAAAGAAAGAGAGAGAGAGAGAGAGAGATAAAAAGACCCAGAGAGTGAGAGAAAGAAGCAAAAAAGAAAGACAAGATGAGCAGAAAAGGAAGTTTTGGGACT